AGATAAATTATCTATCATAAAGATAATAGTCACTAAATCACTATACCATAGTTAGTGTGCTTGTGCATTTATATCCATATGTTGATTATATGCCTCATATTAGGAGATTGGAGATAGATCTCAAAGTTTCATGAAAACCATCAAGAGACTATAGTGGTTTAAGGATTTTAGTCCTTTCTGGTCATGAACCTACAATCTCAATTATTTTTTTCCTTGGAACTCTGGCTATAAAACGTTCATGGTGCAGGTGTATATAATATTGAAAAATGAATCATTTGGTTTTTAAATTTTTAATAATTTCACCCCGTTCCATATATAGACACACACACACGTTTGTGCATGTTTTGTATGCATGCTGGGGGCGCTCCTAGGGTGCTACTACTCCCAGAAGAGCTATCCCATGTGCTCCCGAGGTAGGGAACTCTGGGCAAGGATGATAAACCTTCCCATCTCTTGCTCCCAACAACTAAAGGATATATCCACCATAGAGCTCACCAACTCTGTAACCTCGAGTTTGTTGCTTGTGTCATAGAAAACCAACTTTCTTGTTGGGCCAACAACACACATCTAAAGAGTGTCGTTGTTCTAAATGCAAAGGCCGCCTAAAAAGAAAATGATGTCTAAATATTTGAAACGCATCCCCACATGGTTAACCATTAATATTCTAAGCCCAATAAAGAAGTTTAGCTTCCACCCCGATATAGTCCACACCTCAATATATGAACTAAATGTCCTGTCTGAGCCAAGGTGTTTACTCCAAATAGTCCTCATAAATGATGATAGATGAGATTCAGCATTTTTAAACCACAAAATGCTTGGCTTCCATTTGGGTACGTTGAATGATACCAATTGTCAATGATATGTCTAAATATTTGAAATGCATGCACACACGAGTTAATAGCCGTTAAAATTAAGGACCAATGCCTTGATAAAAAAGTACACATCAGATGATAGGATTGAGCAACAAGTAATAAGTTCCTAGGCCCATCACCAGGTGGGCGATTCACCTAATATCATAGTGGATCCAATAGAACTCAGCCCCAGAAATTTGCTGACCTTAATGCAGGAGATCCAACTTTATCAATCAGTTGAGGTTTCTTCCTCTCGAGTCCTCAAAGAAGCCAGAAGTGTTGCAGATCAGTGGGTCAGGAAGAGATGGTTTAACATTTCTATCGTTAGGGGGATACATTCCTTCAGGATAATCTTATCCCTATCATGTCTTGGTTTCTATTTGGTGTTCATTATATCATTTCTTCGTTTTGTTTATATAAATTGTGCTCTTTCGAGTAAAACTTGATGTAAATCTTTTCATTTCTGGGTTTCTTTTTTTATTTCTTTTTTTGCTTATTTCTCCATTGTTATAAGCGTATCTGTATGTTTGTACTATTGGGGAGAACTTGATGTGAAAAAATATCTCTTCTATGGCTTGACCTAATGAGTGACATGTTAGTCATAAAAGAAAAATGTAAGCCCTTCAAAGCTTGTTCAACTCATATATAATTCTTAAGTTAGACCATTTTCAGCATGTACCTTCTCCACTAGCCAGGGCATGTCGTACATTAAACAAAGCTTCAATTATGATCAGATTGCTTTCTGATAGAAGAGAAAGGGTCTAGAAACACAAAAACCATTAAGCAGCTGAAAGAAACCTAAAGGGGAAAATTAGTTACATTAACTACAAATAGTCCAGGTACATTATCAAAAAAAAACTACAAATAGTCTAGGTAGATAACTAGCATCACCAAGTGCATGAGAGTGCATTTCAGAGGTGCAGTAAAACTAAATTGTAAACACAACGAAAAGAAAAGCACTTACCATCTGAATAGAAATTCAATATAATTTGTTAAAAAATCATTAGAAATGAAATAAGTAAATAGAAGGGGAACAACAAGAACCTCGCAAGTTTGTAGTTTTGATTCTATGTTGTTTATGTACTCTTCACACTGGGCAACTTGCTTTTCCTTCTCCCTCAAACCCCCTTCAGTTTGGCCAACCGTTTGTGTTAAGCGTCGAACTTCATCCTCCAATGACTGCCTCACTTCCTCTCGCGTTACTGTTTCAGTTGCAAAGCGCTTCAATTCTTCATCGAACCTTTTTCTTGCAGCTTCTGCATTCTTCAGCCGCTCAGCCAGTACATTTTTCTCCTTCATTACTCTCTGCATTCCCATAAAGAACCAAATTAGCTCATAAGAAATTTCTAATGTGCCATAAAAAACACAATGACTAGATTATGATGCCAACATCAGCAAAACTAAAAAATAGAATAATAAAAGTATATACTGTAATCGGAGTAAGGTATATGATGGGTAGGGAGGGTGGAATCCACTATTTGTTCCATATGGTACAGAGTACAGATTATCTGTAGCTATGTTAATGTCCCTGTGTGCTCCACTATAGGTAATCTCCACAGTCCATCATCACTAGGATCACACCGTGGATGCCCTTAAAAGTACTTAAACTTTACTTTAAATACTCGAAAGAGATTAAAGGTACTCATAACTTCCTTTGAAATACTTGAGGGAGGGAGGGAGGGACAGAGGAAGAGGGAAAGGGGGAGAGAGAGAGAAGTTGCATAGAGCGGGATGATAGACCCTCACCATATGTGAATATTTAATTCAGATGATTAGGAACGCGGGGTGAAGAACAAGATTTTGTCATCATACATATCATATATTTTAAGAGAAATAGTCGACTTATACATATAATATGATCATCATATATCATATGATCATCATACATATCATATTTTTGAAAAGAGAAATAGTCAACTTACATATCATAATGTCCCCACCCACACTAATACATGGCTCAGCCAACCAACATGAGAAACCAAAGTCTCACTAATCCCTTGCTATTGATGGGGTGGTCTGCAGATATCTTACAATTGCTGATGGGAATTGATCACAGATGCTATCTTGAAATGTTACTGAAGCTTTACCTTTTCTTATTAATGAAAGTTTCGTCATTATAAAAAACCAATAGTTGCTTCCTAAACCCTCAGTTGCTATCCTAGTCTCTACTTGCCTCCTTTTTCTTTTAATATGTTAACTCTATTAAGCTAAAAGTGAGTACAAAGGGAAAGTAAGGAGGAGGACAGGATACCCACACACGGGTTCCGCCCAAAATATAGGCTACCCACAATCTCTGCTTGCTTCTTTATTAGTAAGAAGGGAAACTTCCTTGAACCTTGTAAAATAGAAGACTTAAAAGAATGTAATTAACTTCTTAGGAGCATATGCACACTACCTTCAACTCATCTCTTTTCCGAGACTTCAACTGTGAAAGTTGCGTCTCTGCATCATGAAGACGTTCCTGCAAGGACTTCTTATCAGCAGAGAGCTTAGAAACCTCCTCTAATCGTTCCACTCTAACCCACTCAAGCTGATTTTCGACTTCCTGGAATTGCTCACAAAGGTCCTTCTTTTCACGGCCAAAACAATCCTGTTCAGCTTTCATTTCAGACTGCAAACCAATGAAGGAAAACCAGTTGAATACAGTCTCTAGCCACTAATGATAACACAAAGGAAATGAAAGATAGAGATAGCATCCACACAGAAAGAGAGAGAGAGAGAGAGAGAACCTTAAGGCGAGTATTCAGAACCTCCGATTCGTTTAGCCTTTGAGTTAAAGAGACCTTGTCTTTGAGAAGATTCGATAGTTCAGTTCTCATTTCTTCACGGGCACGAATAATTTCCTCTTCAGTGGCACACAACTGATGCCAAAGAGATGCACGATCTGCACTTGCAAGCTCCGCCACCTCTCTCATCATATTTAGCACCGTTCTTGCTGTCATCTCATTCTCCCGAACAAGGTATACCAAAATCTCCATGTCCAAGTCTACATCTTGACAACTATTTGCACTACTAGCTGCTCTCTCCACAAGGCCCCTTAATAATCTCTCTCGACAACCCTCATCACTGTACAGCCTGAACATTATACCATATAAGCCCCTAACAAAGCACATCACTCTAGAGTCTCTAGAGGGAGCCAAAGCCTCAGCAAGGCCAAGAACAGGGGCGAAATCATCATCTTCCTCCCACAATGGTTGGCTCTTTGCACCATCTGATATACCTGTTTCTTTATCTTGAGTGGTGCTCTCTAAACGTCGAGAACTCATCATCATGAGCCTTATGGAATGTCGCCTTTCCAAGACTAAAAGCATCGTTTGGTCATCAAAGACACCTTTCGCTATGGCTCTCTCGCAGACTTGGGATGCTTCTATAACAAGGGAAGGAATAGACAACATCTCTATAAGAATATCTACATCAGCCACGTGGCAACATAGGCCCATATCATCATGCAATCGTTGGGTACCAAACCCATATTCACCATCAGAGAGCCCACTTTGAGTGGTCAAATCTTTGGCAAAACGATCACTCTCTGACCCTATGTCCCTTAGAAAGGCTTCGGCTGTGTCAGGCTGAGTAGTTGCTGCTTTCCTTAAAACGGTCAGCACAGAAGGAGAAACCCCAAGTCCCAAACTTCTCAATCTAGCACGAATAGCTCTGACCTACAAAAGCAGTGAAAGAACAGTAAGAGCATGCCCAGTAACTCAAAAGTGAAGATAAGGGAAAGCATGAAAGCATACTATCAAGTACTAATGAATAGTTTATTTGTAAACAGGGTCATATGCGAGACAATTTTATGACAATTTCCTAACAAGTAGGCAGGAGAAACTGCATTCACCATGAAGAGCAATGCTGACCAAACATTGTCAAATTTACTGAGCAATGGGCAGGTAAAAGAACATAATTATTCGTAAATAAATGGTTCATCCAAACTACTGGCTAGTCAAATAGACTACTAAAATAGACTGCTGGGCCACCACCATCCAATGGGACAATGGAGGGTGACAGAGATAATTGAGGGAACCTGCATCGAGGTAGTCCCACACTTTCCTTCAGTGTACACTTCATGGGATAGTGCCCCGATGGAAGCAATGGACTATGGAGAACCATGGTCCATGTATTATAGTGTAGTTTTTGGAAGTGATTGAAATTTTCGACTTGGTCATGGAACTGGCAGAGCCCGAGGCAGCTGGTCTGACATCGCTCACTCTCAACAAGAACTGTCCTAGTCTATGAAAATAAATATGATAACCTCGGGAACCAGTGAGACTTTGCTGGATCCAAGGTTTTTCAACGGGATTCAGCACCCTGCCACGTCGGAGTAACTCAGGCAAGTCCGAGTTGGACTCACTGAGTTTCAAAGCACTGCTTTCCCATTAATGGAACAGCCTAACTATAAAAAGTTCAAATGGGTTTGGTTATGACTGGCAAACAAGGCCTTACCGCATGAGGTAGAAGCTGACATTTGGAAGCAGCTTTGAAAACAAAGGTGATGGTTGCAGCAAGTGGTTCATCGTTGAAGCTTGTTAATAACTTAAAAGATTGAAACAATACTTGCTCCCACATCTCCTTGCTGAGCTCCAGTTGACTAAGAGAACTAAGAACCTGCAAAATGAAAATTAGAAAAAATAACAAAAAATCTGGTGTGCATACTCTTCGAGAGGGTCTGTTTTAGAAGTACAAAAATATAATGTTAATGCTTCTCTCTCTCTCTCTCTCTCTCTCTCTCTCTCTCTCTCTCTGCATCGCATCCGCACACACCAAACAAAGCAAATAAATACCATAAAGAGTGTCTCTCTCTGTGCATCGCATCCGCACACACCAAACAAAGCAATAAATACCATAAAGAGTGCAAGTAGTTATTCAATCTTACTGGAAGCAACAAAGGGAGCTCCACAACCGGTTTTTGAAGTCGATCCAGTAATGCACAAGCAGCAAGTGGATGCTCAGAATGATCCACTAACTTAGGCACCAACGTAATTAGGTCAGGCTGGAGGTGTTTTGGAGCCCTGTCAAGAACAAGGGCTATTTTCTGTGCTGAGTGAGGACTTCGTCGAGGCTCTGGGCATCCTTGAGGAACAGCACAATCCAGAGCCCTCAGAGAATTCACAATTAACCCCAAGAGCTCCTCAGTTTGATCGGGCCACTTTGCCTAGGATAAATAATAATTCGACATATCAGTGCAACAAGAGTGTAGTGGAACTGAAAAAGAGTGTAAGAAAGAACTTTGATTTTAAATATCAGCCGTTGCCCAAAACTGAGACAGAACTTTCTACTGAAACATTCTAAATCAGTTGAACTTTGGGCATCACAGAAATTTTGAAATCCGGAATCTGGCCATTTTTCATATTCTAAATCAGATGAATTTTGGGGATTCAGAAAATTTTATGAATCCGAAATTTTCCCATTTCTTCATGTTTCAAATCAGTTGAATTTAGAAGGTTCAACCTATATTCAATTTAAAATTTAAATTTCTGCCATTTCCCTTATATTAAATCAAAAAAATAACTTTGTTCAAAATGAATTTCCACCAAATTCAAGTCCGAAATCTATGACTTAAAAATTTGACAAACATTAGTGATTATACAAACTACAAAGTAACAAGTCATAATGATCCATTCCATCATAACTACCTCTACAAAATTCATAAATAAACATGTAAAACTACCTTGGCAGTATGGCTGAGATTATCTGCTGACAAATGATCTTCAGCAGTTACTTTAGGAGGGGTAGCAGGCTGACCTGGAACTACCTCACCAACTGTCTCAGCCATTATCAAATCAGAGCTCTGCACTGCCTGCGCATTGCAGCTTCCATCATCAAGCCTTTGATCCAAAGGCTTGGCAAGAGGCTCCAAAATCCCATTTCTCTCTCTGGACTCTGAAGCGATCTTATCATTTGGAACACCAGTGGACCTCACTTGAGAACCATCTTCACCCTTTCTTCCTTCTCCAGTTCTGTCTCTGAATTCCGAAGAAATCTTTTCGTTTGGAGTACCACTGGACCTTACATGAGAACCATCCTCTCCCTTTCTTCCTTCCCCATTTCTCTCTCGAGATTCCGAAGAAACCTTATCATTTGGAAACCCACTGGTCCTAGAGTGAGAACTGTCATCATCCTTTCTTCCTTCTGAGGGCCTACAATACTCTACCATGATGTCAAGGAGCAAGTCAATGATTGCCTGCTGCAATACTTTAACCCCCATTAACAAATTTATGAGGCTTGGTGAAGACTCGTTTTTGTTGGCACCTTTCTTCCCACCATTAGAGCTTGATAACTTAGTAGGAAGAAGCAAACGCCTCACTTTAGCTGGGTCATCTAGATAAATTCGGAGACCAGTTAGGAAAGCAGCAATTGCACCAGCATCCATTAAAAGCTTCTCTCTTAGAGTGACCTGAAGTTGTGAAGGGTCTAAAAGAAGAGGTGGGTTGTCTCCATAGGTGAGGTGGAACCCCGCCCTTGCAAGAAGGTTACGAAAAACATCCTCCTCATCTCCACTTGCCCCTTCGCTTTCATCTGAATCAATAAGCTCATCTGGATCTGTTGACAATGCATCCCTATCATCATCTGAAGCCATTACCTGGCCAAAAGTAACAACCGACTTTAAGCATGGGAGGAGAGATGAAAAAGATGCAGGTTCTGCTAGATTTATAGGTCTTCGTGGTCCATATTAACAGAGAAAGGAAGACACAGATGGGGACATCATCGGTTTGGAATAGATAGATATTCAATCCACGTGAACTTACATTACACATGTTATTATGATCCAAAAATGGACAAAATGGGATTCAAGTAGATAGTTAAATAAACAAGAAATTTACATTCTCTATTTTATTATGATTTAGAAAGGCAGACGATGGGAGTAGGCAATGCAATAAGCATAAGGCTTCTTTTGTATATTTTATTACACCCCCTTTCTTCAATAAAAGCAAAGCTTCCATTATTCATTGTGTTATGATCTTGCATGCCTAAATTTCAGCACATCAGTTATAAGATTATTCCACATATGATGCCCTTTTGGAGTAACTTTTGCACAATGTTTACACCTAACAAGAACTTCCTGGCAACAACACTTCTCTAATGCACCAAATGTTATTATACAGTAATTATTGGTTCTTTTGGACATCTCTTCTTTGCCGGCCATGGAATCAGAGTTCAAGTTCCCTGTATAAACTCTTTTCCATATTATAAATTAGTAATACATTTCATATTTACCTGTTATGACTAGAAGGAAAAAGAACAAGGTTCCCCAATGTCCCTAAAATATATATGTAATCTAATATGGCAGACACATTCCATGTGGTAACTGAATATTTCTGTCCATGGTTTCGTAAACTCAAAAATCAGTACAACTCAAGTACTTTCCTTTTGTTGACTGGCACAAGTCATATTTCTGCTTTTTTAGAATATCCAAGTTAAATGACATAAAGTTACTGAAATGACCCAAATATCCTTGTTTCGATTGAAACTATCTTATATTATTATTACATACCATGTATCGCACCTTTTGGGACAGAAATAAGTTTCTGCATGCTGTTTTTCAAAATCTTGAATTTTCAGTTATCTTAAATTTCCAATTTTGATACCATAATTTTGGGCCCTTTGTGTGGCCTTTGCTAGTCTAGAAGCACTATCAAGATGAGTCATTCAATAACTCGTCCTGCTGTATGGTGAGATAAGGCTAAATAGGAACCATTAAAATAATAAGAGAACAACAGAAACAATGAGCATTAAGGATGGGGAAAGGGAAAGAACTTATTACTAAGAGGAGATTAACTCAATAGGAAATATATAAACACATGAATAAGTGTTGTATATACATAGTAATGTACACAGTATTTTGCAATTATATAGATGAAGATGAATAAATGTAAATCAGTTTAGACACAGTCTGTAATACATGAATGGTAAATACCTTAAGTTTGAATGCTTGTGCATTGATACACATATTAGTAGTAGGTAAACGTTACACAAAAGTAATACATAAATATATGTCTGTTCTGGTGTAAGAAAAACTTAATCCACCTAGAAACCCAGTCCTCAAAGAGATGGAACACTAACTTTTTTTTTTTTGGCAGACCGTTGTCACATAGGAGACACCTAGGAGAAGTCTATAACAACATGGACAACCAATCATTGGTTCCAATAACTGTTAGAATTTCCAAGATATAGATGCATCTATACCCTAGTAGCACTAAAACATTGAGAACATTCAGTATATCGAGCATAGAACCCATGAAGTCAAACTTGGCACTAGGTAACCAAAATACAACCTTGAATATATCTAGTACTTGACCGGGTATACTGATAAAACAATATCTTGATTTCAATATGGACAGACTGAATGAAGTAAGTGAAGCAACAGATCAGTTCCAAGTAGCTCTTCACCAAAAGAAGACAGATCACATTCTTTTTAAGCTAAAGCTCTAACAAAAACAAGTATAAGCTTTTCAAAAATTAAAGTAATAAACAATACATGCTCAAGGACATCGAAGTGCAATATGGATCGCCTAAACCAATTTAAAGTCCCTGTTAGACAGTGTGTACAAGGGGTTATGCCTTGACTTGTTAACATTTTAAGTGTTACTTCAAATCCTAAACAGCTTTATAAGAAGATCAACATATCAAAAATACAAATGCACCATTATCCCCCTTACAAAAGATATAAAAAAAGCCATTTCCATCGGCAAGATGGATATCTGAAACAGAAGGAAAAGCATAAACCATTAAGAAGATGTATTATAGCTGCATTAACAGATATCTGTCCATTCAAGAAAATAGATCATTTCTATTCACCCAACCATGTCTAATGAAAGTAAATGTGTAGTATAGTAGCCACATATGTTCAGATAGGAGTCAGATTGATAAAACCAAGTGCAATTTTAATTCAAACTATTATACATATACATACACAAGAAATGGACAGAGACCATTAAAAAAAATGCCTTAACATACCTCAAGATCTGAAAACTCTAACCATGGACAGCAATCCATGATTTCACAAACAAAGACCACAGTATCACGCACAAGAAAACCAGCATCTTGCTCTAGCATGTCAGAAACCTTCATAAATTGGAGAACAGAATTATTCCAAGTCTTGGTGCATATAGAGGACTCTTTCCACACAGTCTTCGAGGGGTTCTTCTGGTTAACAACTGCCATCCGATACCTGACCCAAAAATTCTTGTCGGGATCGGACCCAGCTGACTGGTCGCTCTCCAAGTATATACAAAGAGTATCAAAAGACTCATATACCCCTGTATTTAGCCTCACAGTATATCAGTCAAAAAGTAACCTTTTTTTTAATATATAAAGAACCCATGTAACCATGTTTCTTTCAAAGAAAGGTAAACTAGGCATCAAATAGATAAACAAAAGGGAAAGTATTACTATAATCCAATGGACCATGGAAAAACATAGTCAATGAACACACTGATGAAATGATGATAGTGGTGAAGAGATTGGAATCCACCATTGAGATCGTGTCCTATTCTTGGGGTGGGGGGAACACACTCCATCACCATCTATCATTTCATTGGGCAGTCATAACCCAAATGAACAATGGTGTTCTATAGCGTGTTGTATTAAAATATACTCGTCTAAACATAAATAAATCTAATGTTGCATTCATGGAAGCAATAGTAACGATGCAACTAAAATCACAAACCTATACGAAGCTCACAACCACCCGCTTGAAAGAATTTGCTGAAGATCTTCCGGGTTTCCATGATCTCCTTGAAGGACAAAAAGTTCTCTACCTTCCAAGTGAAAGTCCCCCTTTGTGCAACCGATCCAGAATTGGAACCTATACTGTTCAAATCATTTTCATAATCCCCAGCTTCTTGCAAAGTAGATGTTTCCTTTAAGATAAGAACCTCAGCAGAGAATACAACGGTGTCCATCACAAGAAACCCAGAGTCTTGATCAAAGAGGCTAGTAAGGGTCACAAATTCGCGCCAACCCCAATCCTTGGCAGCTTTGGAATAACGATTTTGTGACTCCTTGGTAACTGATTTCTCCTCCATTCTTTGGTTCACAACGGATAGGCGATGGCTCACAAAGCAACTCCAATCTGCAGCGGTGTTTCGAGGATCTGTGACTTCAAGAAATACTGAGAGATGGCAAGGTGGTTGAGATTGCCCTGATTTCACCAAATGAAGAAAGCCATATCATTTTCTTACTGAACTTTTTTTTACAAGGAAAGGTACAAATTCTATTAAATTCCATCGCTAATACCACAGACATCAATCTTTTCTTGATCGATAAAGAACAAGAGGCCCACATCATTACTACCTAATTCAATGAACATGTAAATACATAACCTGACTAATATAAGTGGACATGTATACATTTAAAAGGATGAGTATTATATAATCATTGATAAGAAATGTTGCATGAACAGAAGCTTCTTTTTAACAATCAGAAAGGTTCAGTACACAATGACAATGTCAAAACTGTAGCCATCACCTGTGACAACTAATAGCTCCTAATAAAGAAAATTACAATAACAGAATGAGAACATACCCAAATGGGTCTTCTTATTCCACCAGTTCATTAGGTATAGTAACCATTTCGTACTTTAAAAGTAGTCATTAAGAAACTAGAACTTTACACGAATACAGAGGATCAACAGAAATTAAGGCGGTACATATTCCCAAGCCAAAATACATCCATACAGAGAAGCAATATTGCCTTAAGTAAAGCCACTTGTATAAGCTCTCAAAAATCCAATTAGCATAAATTATGCAAGGCATAGACAGTTACAAGAACTCCTTCTATAGATTGAACTTTAAGCCACTAGCGATATCAAGGACAACCAGATGGAAAACATAACTAGCTAAGAGGAGACATAAACATAGAAATATTGTTTATTCAAGAGACACTAATTGCATGATAAATTTGTGAGTTTGTGACTCAAAATCATTTTTTTTTCATAACTCAATATCAAAGTCAATGAATGGCAACTCAAATTACGAGCATTATCACGAAGAACATTTTGGCTTACCTCTTGGATAAACAATCAACCGGCAGTCTCTGTTCCCAACCTGAAACCGCCTGCTTTTGACGCAAAGCCCTGTAATCTTCCTTTTCTTAAGAAGATCCTTCAACCTTGTGAAATTTTCTATCCTCCAAGTGAACTTTCCAAGGTGCCCATCTGATTTCCTTGCATTAGCCCTCACCCCAATGAGCCCTGGATTCTTGGTGAAGTTGCTCAATTCCTTAATTACATGAAATGAGGCACTAAATACAGCAGTATCATCCAAAAGATAACCCCCTTCAAGAGCCATAAAATCCGACATCTTCATATAATCATTCCAACCCAAACTTGTATTATCTCCACTCTTATTATCAGCAGCAAACCGACCATAAGAATCCCTATGCATATGATTCCCTCCCACCTTTTGATTCAAAACTGACATCCTAAAAAGGCACCAGCAAGACCTATCGGGAAGAACCGATTTCTCTGTGTCCTTACTCTCCAAGCACATTGACAAATACTCGACCCCATTAACAGAAGACTGATAGACACTTAGTCGCAAATTACACTCACCGGCAGGGAAAACTGGGCTCATTATCTTTTGGGTTTTTATCATCTCTTTGAAGAGAGAGAAATTGTGGACTTTCCAAGTGAACTTCCCACTAAGAACGTCAGGTAAGGGGGCAATACCAGGCTGCAATTCATTGTCTCTGGAGAAAAAAACTGATTCATTCAAGACCAATATATCGACTGTTATAATAACTGAATCATTCAATAAGAAACCTGCTTTTGGGTCCAAAATTGACGAGCTTGGGGTGAAATCACACCAACCATGGGACTTCTTCTTGCTAGAAAACCGATGCCATGAGTCTCGCTGTATCGATTTAGTCTCATCTCTCTGGTTAAGAACACAGAGCTTATAGCTGGCGAAGCAATCCCATTTAGAAGAGGAGGAGCCCCTAGGGTCCACAATTTGCAAATAAATTGATAGATAACCAGGTAAAGCTTGAGAATCCCCCTTAGGATAGACCAGGAGCCTGCAATCATAGCCCCCCACCTCAAAATATCGACTCCATAAAGCCCTCGCTTTTACCTTAGAGAATTGGGCTATGGTCCATCTGCAGATTGCTGAGTAATCTCCAGTTCTCTCTAAAATTACAGACTCTTGGCCGCCTTCTTTGGGCTCCTCAGCATAATCCCCACCTCTAGCGACCGATTTCTCAACTCTACTAGACATGGTGGGATGATCGAGCGAAGACCCACCTGATGAAGAAGCCATGGCTTCGTCTGGGTCCTTTAAACTATGCTTCATTTTGCCAATACCCCAACTAAAAATCAGAACAAAAACACCATTACTGCCTGGTCCTTCTTCACCTCAAGCCAAGCCGAAGCAAAAATGGCGACCCCAAGATTGCCTGATTCTATCAGGCGAGACACAAGAGAAAACCCTAGTATTTGGGCCCAAACCCATTTCAAAGAATCACAAAGAATCAAAAAGTTGCTATAGACGCCATGAAAAAGCAGGAATGTTTCTACAAAGAATAAATAACTCAGATTGTTACAACTAAGGGTTGGGTGATTGTTAGATACCTGGAGATGGTCCCATAAAGTTATTTCAATGGCGGTGAGGAGGAAGTTGCAGAGGCTCCTTGGTCTGAATGCTTTCGTTTTCTCTCTCTCTGACTGTCTATTGTGTTTACTTCTCTCTCTCTACCACAATGGCCTGAGAAAGGGCAATGTATGTTTCAATGACCTCTAAAAATTTGCCCAATTACAGTACATCTTTACCTTGACTTATATATATTTATACAGTGGCAATTCCATAAATCTTCATACGTTGTATGGTTCCCAACAGGGGATTCGAGTGTATAACCCTAATTTAACCAATCTTTGTGTGAACTCTATGAACCTTAAAAAAGTTCTTTAAGGCTTAAGTTTAATAAATGAGTACCCCCCTCTCTCTCTACCCCAGCCATGATGTATGTAATTGAAGAGGGACCTGATTAAAATCTCTCTTGCCCGATTAATATCTCTCTGTCTCCATCTCATCACACCCATGATCTGTATATAATTGAAGTTACTTGAAACATTTGTCTCTCTCTATTGATGGTCTCCATCCATGATGTATTCTCCATGTCATACATTCATTGTGTATCTAATGGAGTTACTAGAGACCTCTCTCTTTCTCTCTCCACATATTTTTTGTGAGTATAACTTGTGACTCTCCTCATACCAATCTAATCATATGGAATTGATATAATATCATGAGTCTCATATCTACCTACACACATTTCATGATAATCATTAGATCTATTTTTCAACTATTTAAGATTGGCTATATGAATCTTGGTATGTCATCTTGCTCTATCAAGAGTCGTATCCTTAGTTAGTTCATACCGCTATATCAAAGGCTCTATATCATACTGTTCTATCAAGGGTCATACCCTTGGTAAGGTCATATGTCTTATATCTCTTCTTACTACTTTCAATCATGTTATTTTAGGTCTATCCCTTGCCGTCTTTGGCTTTTCACTTGAATTAACTCTCACTTCTTAACTAGTATTGTATTGGGTTTACGGTGTACATGACCAGCTCACCTACCGATATTTCAAAAATAACTTTTTTTAGTGGCTCAATAGATAATGGATTATTACTTGAAGTAGAAATGAAACTCAAGAAGTCATATTGTGGCACCTCTTCACTTTGACTACCCAGAGTTAAAGCACATTCCTAATCAAAACAAAAAGGCAAGTTTTCCATGCTTCCTCTATAGCATAGAAGTTTTATCCTCTCTCTTATCCAACAGTCTATTCTGAATGGAGGGCTAAGATTACCCCAATCACAATGTCACGTCTCTACACTATTTTATTTTAAATTTTTTTTCTATAAACTATTTTGACACCAAATTTTGAATGTCCATTCCTCTATTAAACTCGTACTAGCGAAAAATATTTTAAAAAAAAATTTTCAATAAAATAAAATGACCAAAATACCTTTGAAATTTTCAATGGGTATTTTGGTCATTATATTTTATCAAAATATTATTTTTAATATTTTTTATAGGTGCGTCCAATGAGAAGCTGGTACGTACCAAATTTCATTATCATACAATTTGTATAAAAAATGTAAAAATAAAATACTTTAAAACATAGGATCTAAAATCAAATGGTGAGTGACTCTCTTGATCAAAATTTGACGGCTGGATGGTAGAGGGAGAATAGAACTACTATGTTGTAGGGATAGCATAGAAAACTTTCCCAAAACAAAATTACGAGAAGAGACTCTGCCCATATATAGACATCAACAAAACAAGTCTTGATGATCGAATTTGACACGTGGTCCTGAGGGGAAAATATCTTTTTTTACCATTCAAAAAGGAATTCTAACCTGAAGATTTAATTTGATCTATGCATCTAAGTTAGAGTCTTACAATTGCGTAGCACCATGAGTCAAAAACTGATCAATTCTAGCATTTTTAGGGTCAAATCATTTCTCTTGTACATTATGTTTCCACGTATTACATTAGCATTTATTTTAAAATCATTTTTCTAGTGAAGATACGACATATTTTTCCAATTATTTGCCTAACATAGAAAAGGGGTAGGTCAGCTTGTGGTTTCTTTATGTTGAAACCCTTGACCTCCCCCATGCTGCCACACTGGGCCAAAGCCTTAAACAATTAGAACAAGTTAAGATGTCTAAATGAATAATATGCTCTAATCAAATGCTTCTCTTCGATCAATCCCTCATTATGATTGTTTTAGTAAAAGTTTTGATGCTTGAGGCCAAGAGTTACCACAAGGTATATCTTGCTGCTCAATCGTGGGGGGACCTCTCTCTTGTCAAGAGCTCAAATCTGGAAACCTAGCCTAGCTATTGAAGTCTCTTTGCTCTCAAGTATCAACAAAGCCAAACAAACTCCTCTATTCAAGCCCTCTGTAGCAAGGGCCATAGTTATCAAGATCGGATTGAACCCGCAATCTGACTGTTCTGACTGTTGATAAGTGCTTTGATCAGTAGGGTCCAAAATAAAAATCGGATTTGATTAAGAATTAGTAAAATTCAGTGTTTGATTGGTTTTGACCGGTTTACTTGATTCAACTGCCCAAATAAAATGGGTAACTTTTTTCTAATATATTATATCTTTTAAACTATTGTTCATGTATTTTCTTAAAATTTTCAAAATCCGGTCAAACCAATTGATGCAAATCGCATATGAGGCATTTGGAAATTAAGATGAATTTTTTTTTTGAAGAAATTTTGTGTGGTTTTTGGACTATTTATTTATATTGTTGAGGGTAACTTTGGGTCTTGGATATTTTTGGTGAAGGGCTTTTGTTTTCACAAGAGGCGAAAGGAGTTTTCCTTTTGGCCTGATTTGCCAACGTATTTCTTTCCTATCTGTTTTTTATTTGGTTTGTTCTAAAATTGAAAGAAGGCTTAATTAAATTTATTGGCCTCATTTTGTGTATCACCTGTTCGACTGGCTATTGGATCGGTTTTGACTACACTAGACCCTAGTTCGATAACTGGATCGATCTTGATATCATTGACAAAACCACTACCAAGTTGTAGGCCACTGGCCATTTACTTGCAGTATGACAATACCCTTATTACTCCTCAAGATCTGCAGGCTGAATAAGACCTTTTTCTTTTTCTTTTCTTTTTTTCCTTTTTTTTTTGCTAATTAATGATAGATACTTGCAGTATGACAATTCCCTTATTACTCTTCTAGATCTTGAGGCTGAATAAAAGCTTTTTTTTCTTTTCTTTTTTTTTCTTTTTTAATTAATAATAGAAATATACCCGATGGCAAAGAATGAAAAGGTTACACATACAAATTAGAACTAATACCCCTGTGTTAACACCTCCCCCTTCCCCCATACTCGACCTCAACCTCGACCATGCATACAGAGTTTGTCAACTAGAAACAAGTGCCTTTTAGAGGTCATTGTCCTGGTAAATAAATCTAATCTTTGTTGTTTTGTAAAAGTCTTAGGCAAAAATAATCATATGGATTTCTCCCTGAACAGAATGACAAAGCTCAATATGTTTTTTGCGTTTATGAAGCATTGGTTTTGAATTATTTTGATTACACTAACACTATCACAGAACAGAGGCATAAGAGAAGATAGTTCAACGCCCATGCCTGCTCATAAAGCCCAAATTATTTCATTGCATTTTCATTCTATGGCTTGATATTCAGCCTCAGTTCAACAATATTCTATTTCCTACTCTTCTAACAGATGAGTGTAGTACTAAGAACACACGAATCACCAATCCTCGAGCACAAAGTGTCAACACATCTAGCCCAATCAGAATATGAATGAGCCACTTATCGAAGAGGAGCCTCTGAAGTCATGAGAAAACAATTTGACATGGGGTGAAAGTACCAAATAATGAATTGAACCAGTGTAGGAAAAATCAAATTGGAGCGGTTAAGCGGACATGGGGCCATAAGCGGTTCAATCGAAAAACCGGTGTGTTCAACTGGCCTAATCGGGCAAGTCCCAGGTGGTCAAAAAAGTGTTAAAAAATAAAAAAAAATACAAAACCAAATCTAATAAATTATGAAAAGTATATTTAAAGCATGATTAAACAAAGCACATTCAAATAAAGTTGAAAATTAATAAAATCAAAATGGATTTTAAAGAATTGATTTGTACCCAGGGATATTTTTAAAATTTTCTTAAAAAGATGGGAAAATATAAAAATAAGTATTAATGGCTAAAACAATGTTCAATCTTTGCAAAAAATGACGAAAACATTAAAAATGCATTACAAATAAAATCTCTTATTTTTTGGATTTTTATATAAATATTTTTGAATTTTTAAAAAATACCTGGCTGGTTCACCAAAACCGGCCGAAACTGAATCACTATTTTGAAAACAAGAGCAATATTTAGGCCTTATTATAGTGAAGATATTTCGACTGACTGCATGTGGAGTGTAGGATCAAGCAGCCTCTCTGTCATTTGTGAACTAAAAGTTCACATTCAACTCAACTGGTGTATGTGAATTGATGTCTTGAATGTAGGAAATAATCAACTCACTGGAGGGATAGTCACTTCAATCCATATATTGAAGCCGTCTCGTATCCTCCATATGTAATTGAGCCTGAAGTTATGTCCTAAGGAAAAAGATAGCGTCACTATCATTACCAATAATCACAATGTTATCTACATGCACAATAAGAAGGCAAATTACCAATAATCACAATGTTATCTACATGCACAATGAGAAGGCAATGCATCATTGTGAATATTGAACAAACATGGACCAGTAGTTAGCCACAATTAGTTTAAAGCCACTGTGAATAATTGCATTTGTGAGTTTTTGTAACTAAGGTCGAGAAGCATGTTCAAGACCATAAAAAGCTTTTCACAGTCTACTAGCATGGATCTTCCAAGAGTCTTGTGGCCAAGAATATGACTTTGTTTTGGGGGTATTTTGTCATAAATAAAATATCACCACCAGGCTCACGAAGTGGCGATGTCTCGCCAAATAAATTGCCAGCACGGTGACTAACAGATTACTGAATAACTTATGGGAAGAAGGTATCAATATACAAAGTTTATAGACCAAATTTGAGCCTAATTTGGCATCGGATGGAGGAGACATGGCCTCTCAAACTTATTGATCGGTAGGTAGGTCCATCTAACTCGGTCCAACTTTACAAGAGGAACTCAAGAAATAAGTAGCTAATGAGCTCCAAATTTTTATGAGATGAATGCGATGATGAGAAAAGCTCTTGATAAAAATTTCAGCCAAATTCAATATCCGGAAGTACCTTTTTCAGCACCATCTTTACTGCATTACAAGGGGAATACACAGAAAAGAGGAACATACCATACTGTCTATGTGGTTCATCATCTTCATTAGAATTACAGCAAGAAACAAAAATTTTGCAAAAGGTCGAAGGCCATATCTCCCAATTCCTACAACCAGA